TAACATGTATAAAAGGGGCAGGTCCTCATCAGGCTCTGTGGCATGAAGAGGACCCCCACTTCCTCGGACACCCAGCTATGGGGCCCCATCTCTTCGGAGAAGTCAATCTCTGTGTAAGGATGGTCTTAGGACTTAGTCTAAGCCACTCCGTTTTAAAACTCCATCTTGAAATAAACACGCAGTCTCACCAGGCAAGATATGGAGCCCTCCAATATGTCAATCAGGTATAGCCTGATAAAAGCAAGTTACTTTCCACAACCCTGGTAAGAGTCAGGGTGAAGTCACATGTCATTTGTCTAACCCTGATAAGAGTCAGAAGTATGACATCAGGGTAGAAATCACCAGACCATATGTCCTTTCTAAGAATGAAAGATGTCACCGAGAAGGGTGACCCAAAGGGTGAGCAGAAGCTCCCAAAATTTAATATAAATGACGGAGCAAATGAACAGACATTCAGCCAGCCGACACTGATGCCTTCATGCCAGAGAGCCTGATGAGGACCTGGACTAATATCCCAACTCTTCTCATTGTTTGCCTGATCCTCTGTATCTTCCTCATATTCTGAAACTCTACAGCTACATCTTGACCCTGAAGAGAAATGCAACTTCTTCCTACGACCCTTCTTCAACTGGCTGTCAGCTCCATCTGAAGCCTGCCTCTGTCTCTGACCTGATCACTGTGGTCTGAGTGAGTATGCATCTGCTGGACTTAGAGCCTAAGGCTTGAGACTTTAGATCTGGCACTTGAGCTTAGCATGCAGAGGGAATATCTGTTATGATTAAGAGTGTTTGCAGAGTTTAGAATTAATCTAGAATTGTTTGCTGTTGATTGTCTATTGAAGTGCCTAGCATTAAGGACTGTCATTTTCTTGATTAAGAACCTATAGCGTGAAATTGTATTGAGTTATTTGAGTGAATAAAGCATTGAAAGGGCAGAAGCACGTGGACATTCTTTATTTCTCCCCCTCCACTACACAAGTTGCACCTTTGCCCATTGAGACAATCTGTTCTATCCTTTAATTAAAACTTGCTTTCTACATTTGCCTCCATGTTTCTTGGGTGTTCAATCTTCACATCAGGGAAATGGGACTCAGCTCTGATTCTCATCACCAGTATCAAGATGACTCATGGTTCCCACTACAAGGTCTCAATCCCGAGAAGAGGAAAAACAAACCACTGAACTACAGTTGGAAGTGTTCTGGGTTAGGAAGACACATAGTGTGCAATGACTGCTGGGGAAGAAAATGACCACTAGTTCTCCGGCATGTAAGGTGAAGATTCAAGATGAAGTGAGATTTAGACGGAGCCTTGGTGGGCAAAAGATGTTCCACTGGCCGTGCAGGGGAGAATGGGCCACACTGAGCAGAGGGAAGGTTAGGAGTGAATGGTAGGGAGTGTCTGCTGAGGGCCCACATAGCACTGAGTGGAGAGCAAAGGTCTCCTCACTGCCTGGATGAGTGGATGTATTAATCCTTACTTCAATGCCTTTACTCAAGATGCTTGCTGCTCGGCCCATGCCACCACCAACTTGAAGCCAAAATGATTTCTTCTCTTGTTTTCTCAATTCATCCCTTTTTTAAAGGGTCAGCTCTCATTTTTTTTCAAGTTTTCTCTTTCTCTTTTCACTAACTATGCCCATTACTTCTGTTCTATTTCACACATTCCAGATTTTATTCATTTATTTTTTCTTTACAGCTCATTAATTACATGAAAGATTTTTATCTCCCATTTAAGCTCCATAAAAACAATTTTCGCTGTGCCAATATAGTGATTATATTCTGGGAACAAAGAACATATTCAGTTAAAATAATGTATGCTCTTAAAATTGTAGTGATACTATTATGTTTAAAAAAAACATTTTTTCTTCTTATTCAAATACAAAATTTCATTTCTACTCAATCTAAGTGAGGCTACTTAGCCTACATTTTAATTCAGTGGCATTTCAGAGCTAAAAGTCTTGGGAATGATATTGCCATTCTTAATACTAATGAATATTTAGTGCATACCTCAGTTTCTAAGAATAAAACATAACAAATCTGCTGTAGGCAGGAAGCAGTTGTTATTTATTAGGGCTTTCTGAGAACTAATTTAAAATTTTCTATTAAAAAATTATATTCTTTATTTTGACTTAGGAAAAAGTCTAAGAAAGCATATGATATAAATGGATCAAATGATTTCTTTTTTTGAGAGGAAAAGAGCTGTCAACATCAATCCAGAGAACTCTGTAACTTGTAATTGCTCAATAACCAAGAAGGAAACATTCAAAATTCAGCTTACATGAAGCAAATATTTCACTCACAATTATTTGGCAAATGTTAGCAATAAACACTAAATGAGCTATTTGTACTCAGTGAAGAAAAATGTGAATGAAAAGGAAATTGCATTAGACCTCAAGGATGACCATTAACATTTCATCTGAAAACTATAACAAAGAAAATGTTTTTCCTTCCAGATAAGAATTCCATTTAAAACTTCAAAAGGAGTTTAATCTAAATGTCTCCTGCTAGCAAATTAAATCATTAGAGAGAAAGGGAGGCGGGATGGGAGAAAGAAATTCATGATTTGCAGATGATTTCATAAAAAATGGCTGTTGGTGCTGCTGTAGGGAGAGAGGCTACTCCATTCCAACTGAAAAAAGCTTCAAAGGACAGCACAGCTCTAAGTCAACACAAATGCAAGTACATCATAGGATGTGGTCCCCAATGTTCCTGTGTGACACTGGTCCAAATCAGACAGTCCTGATTCAGTCCCAGTTGTGCAATCTCCTTGGGCACTGGACTTAGTTACCCAGAGACTTTGTTGGTTTATCTCTAAAGCAATAATTGTAGGACCCACCCCATCAAGTAATTGTGTGACTTAAATAATGTATGTGAAACACCTAGCACAGTGCTTAGAACATACTAAACACTCTGTGTTAGAGCAATTTTCACTTCACCAAGTTCCTCTGGCTTAAGTACAGGGCAGTTCATTACCTACAAGATGCTATGGGCCACACTGTACCATGGAACTGCTCTGCATGGGCTTAACATTTAAGATTTTGACTATCAAAATGTTACTTACCTTCAAGGTATATTTTATAAAATTACTTGCTATGAAATAACCGCCCCCCCTTGCAAAAAAGGAAAAAAGTGAACTACTAAGGGGGAGACAATGATGTTACTTTGTCACTTCCATGGGACAATAGTGGCCTGAAAGGCCTACTGCTACATTATAGCATTACTTTCACAGAGCACTGAGCACAGAATCTTGGGGTGGTTGTTATAACTTGGGAACCATAAACCCACTCAGCTCACTGTACAGATATGAAAACGAAGCCTGAAGAGGCTGACATGCCTACATTGCACAGTTGAGGAAACGCTGATGGAATGAAAGTCCTAGTCTGTTTTTTTTTATTCTATATCTTTACTATCTATACCTATTAACCTCATTGGTTTAACCCCTTATTGATTTAAGGTATTTTGCAGCCTTTTTGTTAAGACATATGAATGTGCTTAGCAAAATAAATTAATAAGTCCTTTTAAGTACCCTTGCAATACAAAATCAGAACAAAGAAATATTACAAATAGCTGCTTTATTCCTAAACAATAATGTATGCTCTTAAGTTTATTCCTAAACAAATAAGCAAAATCAATCTCTGGACAGTTTTTTGCCTTTAATTTATTCCACATATTCAAGAAATTCCCTTAGGAAAGATTAGGTCAAGCAAGAGCCAATGTTCTATAAATCTGTGTGGAGACTGTGGGGTTTCAGAAGGAGGACCTCCTGGCTTAGTAAGTTTCAACCTGCCAGATAACAAGGAAATTATTTTTTCATGGTAAAGTGCAATTTTAAAATTATCTTGTAATTACTCAAGTAATACATGCAAAATTATCCTTTTCCAAATTTCAAAACATTAAAACAGATCATAAATCTTCTTTGAATACTATCCCTAAATTCTGGAACCCTCCTTGTCTAGCTATGGCTTGGACAGATGTGTCCCTTAAAGGCTCACATGTTAAGGGCTTGTTCATCAGCCTGAGATTGCTATTGGGAGATATGTGGTGCTAAAGGTAGAGCCTTTAATAGGTTAGGCTTAGTGGAATGAAGTTAGGTCATGGCTCTTGAAGGAGATATTGGGACCCCTGCCCCTTCCTCCCTCATTTTACTTTGGGGCCACCATAAAGTGAACAGGTTTCTTTTTCAGTGTTGTACTGTGCCTCACGATAGGCCCCAAACCAACGGTGCCATGTGACTGTGAACTGAAACCTCTGAAACTGACCCCAAGTAAATCTTTCCTCCTTTATCACTGATAGTCTGTCGCAGTGACAAAAGGATAACTAACATAGGAAGTTGGTTCTAAGAAGTAGGGTCGTTGCTGTGACTGCATCTAATGAAGTGGTTCATAAGACTTTGGAACTGATTTGTAGGAGGAGTTTGAAAAAGTTTGGAGAAGCTGTATAGAGAAAGCCTAGAATGCTATAAGCAGAGCTTAACAGAGCAATGTGGACAGTAAAGGCTGTACTGACAAGGTTTCAGATGAAATGAGGCTTCTATTGGAAACTGGTCTACAGGCCACTCTTGTTACATTCTGTCCACATTCTGTCCATGCCCTGAGACTGTGGGAGGCTGAGTTAAAAGGTGACAGGCTAATTTATCTGGTGGAGGAAATTTCAAGGCATCACAGCATTCAGGAAGTACCATGGGTACTACTGGATGCTTTAGGCCAGATTTATGGTAAGAATCAGGAGCAAAAAATAGAGTTAAAAATCTGACAAATTTGCAGTTTGATCATAAAAAAAGTGTGTGTAAAGTTCAATCAAGAGAGGTACAGCTGCTAAATAGGTTAGTGCCCTTATAAAGAAGCCAGGCTGGGGATGTAGGTCAGTGATAGAATACTTGTCTTGCATGTACAAAGCTGCTGGTTTGATTACTTGCACCAGGACACAGGAAAGACAACCTGGGAACATCTCAGGAATTGGCAGGAATCTACCTATTGCAGGCTCAAAGGTTTAAAAGTTTAAGGATTTGGTCTGAGAAGAGGGCCCAGGGGCACCACCCTATTTGAACACAGCTATCTAAGGAATTGTTTTCTTGGGATTCATTTCCCTGTG